GGAAAGCTTTTGTTAGAGCCGGTTCCCCTCGGCCCCAGGAACAGAGAGGCGGAGTCACCGAGGCTGCAAATGGCAAAGGAGTTTATTGGCTAGCTTGAGCTAGGGTCCAAGTTCCAGAGCACCAACGCAGTGGCCTCCCTACGAACCAGGACCCCGCCCTGGGGTAAAAGTGAAGCTTTTATACTTTCTTTTGCACACGACACACCGGTGGCACATGACACGCAGGTTCCACACCACACGCTGGGCACACCATCCCCCTCCCCCCTTAGTCCATTGGTTCTTTTGAAAGTGGCTGATTGTTTTGACTCCTGATTGGTTGGCTCCAAGCCCCGGATTTTCAATTTTCGCGCTAGCGCCAGTTGTGGTCCGCTTTTCGGTTTCCGGGGAAACTGAAACTTAGGCCTATTTCAGGAAATTCAGCTTGTCATGGAGTCACTCCTGCTCTCACTCCTATATTTAACAAACAACTAAAAGCAAGCACAGTTACAGAAGCAAATGGCATTAGTTAGAATCAAAGAGAACACATTTTTCTAATCTCAAACAATTTGTTCCACACAAAACAAAGTACATTCTCCTACTATCAATTCCTGTCTTTCACTTTCAGGAGACGGTGAGAGATGTTCCACCTGGGGACTGCTCAGCCCCTACCCCAGGAGCCGAGCACTTCTCTGAACCACAACGCACGGTTCTACCTGGCCCATAGGAGGCATTCCAGATGCTGAATGCATGCGGAATCCAGGCACAGAAGGAGCGCCCTTCTGTAAAAATCCCCGTGGTGAGGAACAGAGGGATAAGGATAAGGGACAGAAATGACCAAGAAACCTTACTAACCTGCCTCACCATCCACGCCACAAACACACACACATCCCCATCCACCCAGCCTTTGCTGTGGACAACAGAACACAAAAGAACACAACCCATAACTTGTACACAGTCAGCCCCGTGTCGAGGCAGCGAAGGGAGCGGGAGCAGACACAGCAGGAGTGTTCAGGCTTTATTGGGCATTAGACAGGGCTGCCACGGGAGCCAAGCTGGGGGGCAGAACTGCCTTACAGGGCAGTGCTGGGGAACTCGGGGTCCATTCTAGTGTCTCAGAGCAGACACAAGCACTGATGAGAAAGATGGTCAGCTTGGCGTTAGTACAGGGACAGGTGACATTAGCAGGGGCACTTTGAGAAAGGAGAGTCTGCAGGTGAAGCTGTAAACAGCCTGTAACTGGGGAGGTCAGGTTAGAAGAAAAGGCACCAATAAATCCCTGGGGAGGAGAAAAGAGTGGAAAGAAAAATAAAGAAACAAAAAGGCTTGTACCGGGGTGTGAAGGGAGTCTAATCGCGCTGTTCTCCAGGGCCCCAGGCAGCAGGCACGGTGCTGGCTCCCCCCCCCATCCCCTGGCACCACAGGGCGCTATTCGTAGTTCCACTTGGCCATCTTTGCAAACAGAGGGCCTCGGATGAAGCGGCCGGACTTCATGTAGGCAGAGATCCTCTTCAGGCCCTGAGAGGGGGAAAAATAAGGCCAGAGCTCAGGGTCTGCTGCCCACGAGGGCTGCGGCAGCCCACGGCAGGCACAGCGCTTCAGGGCCCTCACGACGGCCCTTCCCCGTGGGCCCAGGTGCGGGAGCATCTCCCGGTCTCTTAGGGTCCCCAGCGCTGCTAAGGGCATCTCCCAATCTAACTCACGGCACACCTGCGGAAGGGCTACCGCTTGTGGAGGCCCTGCACTGCGCTGGGTGCTCTGTATCCCCTACATAGTACAAGGTAGGCTAATGAGATCCACCCAGCTACCCCGAAGGATTGGTTCTACTCCCTCCATTTAGCAGAAGGGAAACTGAGCTATCAGAGGTTCAGCAACTTCCTGAGGCTCACACAGCTAGTAAGTGGGACAGGGCTGGAAAGCAGCCTGGCTCAGGCTCTCTCCAGTTCTGGGCTCCTTCTGACAAATTCCCCTCTTCTCCCCCTCCCCGAAATGAGGCCCTCCCACATCCTGTCTGAACAAACATTCTCCTTTTTCACAGAGAGGCTCTTGGCTTGCCCGGGTTTGCCCACAGAGCAGGGATCTCTAGCAGCACAAAGGGGCTCAGAACAGGCCTGTGCAGCCTGCAGCGGAGCCCAGACCTCACCCAATGACTCAGCAAACCTGGACGAAAGTGGATAGGGGCCGGGGCCCAGCAAAAGTCATTCCCCGTAAGCAGAAAGTACACACCTCTCCACCTGCTACCTGAGCCCAATCTCACTGTGCCCCAACCTACCTCACCTCTAGCCCTGCTACGGCCGACCAGGCCTCATGGCACTCAGGTGTGCTGGGCGCCATCCTCCCAGGACAAAGTGCCCAGGCAATTCTACAGGTTCAAGGAGATCCAGGGCTGCATGTTCCCAAAGGCCAGGCCCTGGCAGGCCACAGGCTGCAGCCCTCAGCTCTCCTCCTCCCCGTCCCCTCTCACTACCTCTTACATAATCCCCAAGGCCGCTCAGCCTGGACCAAAACCAGCGCTGATGAGAACCAGCTGAGATAGCACATCTTTTGAGTGGAGGGAAAAGGAAAACACATTCTGTGCTGTAAAACCTGTTGGACTACTGCCTCATCCCCTAATCCGTACTAAAGTAGGATTTGTTGTTCTCAAACAAGCCCTGACTACAGGTAACAGATGGATCTTCCCTGAGGTCGACCAGGTTGGTACAACTCACACCTCAGAGTCTGTGGTGCCAGCGGTTCCCCCCTGCACTCACTTCCAGACTGGAGTGGTTGTCTCTGCGTCCCCACTATGCATGACACCCTGCCTTGTATGGACAAACCAGTCAACACGGGCTAAAATAAGCGTACTCCCCTTCTCACAGATAGAGCACCTGGAATACCGGAGGAGAGAGGACACTTGGAGATAAACTCCTTCCACAGGGCACCCACATATGCACTCAAATCCAGCACCAAGACAGCCCTGGGATCTCAGTATTCCCCAGATAAGGATCCAGTGGGAGCCACGCTTTCTGGAGACGAGGTACGAATATTGTCTGTATCTTGGGTATGGGACCTCAATCCTACCTTGTGTCAGTCCTACAAATGCCAGCTACATACGAACTCCTGAGATGTTCTGCTGCTTCCACGGTTTCCTGGGCTGTGAAACCCAGGGTAGACGAGGGCCAGAGGCTTTTCCTCTTGGCACAAAACAGGGGAAGCCCTGACTGCTGCCCACGGAAGCCAGAGGCTGACAGGGAGCCCCACACAGGCTTGACTGGCTCTGGGACCTTGAGCAAATGACTTAGCCTCTCATTCTCAGTGTCCTTATCTGTAAAATGGAAGTGATAATTCTACCGGTCTTGTGGGAATGTCATAATGTTTGAATTTGACACCATGGGTGTAATATGCTGAGCACCGGTCCTGGTGTGATGACAGTGCTCAATAAATGCTGCTTATTCTCTCTTTAGCTCCAGGACTAGGAAAGCGTCACAAAGGAAGGCAAAGGAATAAGGGACACCAAAGTGGAGGAGGATAGGGTCATCACCTCGAAACGGGCCATGAAGTCCTTCAGGTTGGGGAACGCATCCAGGCACTTGGGCTCAAATATACGATGCTGGTCAAGGACATCATAAGCGAGGAAATCCACAAAGGTGATCTGCAGAAGGCCAACGGTGAGTGGGCTGGAAGCTCCGGGACAGTGGAAGTATGACAATTCTCATTCCCCACTGCTCACCCCTCACCTTGTCCCCTGCAAACCAGGGCCGTGTCCCCAGGAACTGTGAGAAGTGCTTCATTTTTTCAGGGATTCCCTCCAAGCACTCCGGCTTCAGTTTCTCCTGAGACAGAGAATAGCTGTCACCACCCTCAGACACCAGCGCCCCAGGTACAGAGGAAGGGCTCCCCAGGGCTGTGCGTGACACCCTGGCCACAGGTGAGCAGCCATCTTCCCCACAACTGGAACTGGGCCTGTGCTCAGGCCTCCATTAATACATCAGCATTGATTAGGCTCCTACTGACTACCAGACCCTATCTGAGGCGAGGGGAAGGCAGAGAGGATTAAGCTGTCCCTGAATCTGTCACCACTGATCTCCAAGCAAACCTCCTGTGGGGCAGACCCAGGAGCACCCTGAGCACCCGGCAGGCTCTGCACTGAGACGGCAGGCAGAATGACAACAGGAAACTATGAAAAGAGGTCGGGGAAAGAACTCGAAAGTTCTACCTACTGGGGTGGCAGAAGAATCCAATGGACATTTCAGGAGTTTTCAAAAAATGAGGAGTTTCAGATTGAAAAGAAGGAGGGACAGGCACAAGTTCTGTCTGGTGACCCTGAACTTTCCAATAGGAAAACACAGTGATCCCTGAGACTATCAAGACATCATTTGGAAAACAGCAGAGCAGAAGTCTGAATATGAGGGTGCCACTACATTGTCCCATCTTGTACTTCCTTTCCTCATAGTTTGAGTCTGTGATCCAGAAGCAGGCAGATGGGTGAGATGGCCCACAGCAGAGGTCAGAGGTCAGAGATGGAGGGGATCTGGAAGTACACATTACTGTCTAGAAGCTGAATTTCCAACCTGGGGAGTCTGGACTGCGTGCTAAGGTTGGTGGGAA